TTATCACCTGCTGGTCTCCTCCTCCCTCCCTTATCACCTGCTGGTCTCCTCCTCCCTCCCTTATCACCTGCTGGTCTCCTCCTCCCTCCCTTATCACCTGCTGGTCTCCCCCTCCCTCCCTTATCACCTGCTGGTCTCCCCCTCCCTCCCTTATCACCTGCTGGTCTCCCCCTCCCTCCCTTATCACCTGCTGGTCTCCTCCTCCCTCCCTTATCACCTGCTGGTCTCCTCCTCCCTCCTTCATCACCTGCTGGTCTCCCCCTCTCTCCCTTATCACCTGCTGGTCTCTTCTCTCACGGCTTCCTTTCTCCTTACAGTGGCGCAGGCAGTAGAGATGAGTCACCTCGGTCTATTCTTCAACCAGGGTCAGTGCTGCTGTGCTGGCACACGTATCTTCGTAGAGGGCAAGGCGTACGATGAGTTTGTAGAGAGGAGCGTGCAGCGAGCAAAGCTGAGCAAGCTAGGCGACCCATTCAACATGGAGACAGACCAGGGACCACAGGTGCCATTGCAACCATAACCAATAATGATAATAATAATAGTATTAATATTGTATAATCATTATTATCATCATCATAAACTTGGAATAGGTAATAAATAATAATAAATGAAATAACAACAATATAAATGATTTATTATTATAACTATTTGCCGTATGTGGTTAAGAGTGTGGTATACTAATTCGCACCGTACCGGTAAACGGGATGTTTTTAACAACAATCGTTGTTGTCATAACAACACAAATATCTCTCTAGTCGCACAGTTATCTTCCTCGTGTCATTCATACATGACGTCACTGACAATTCGTCGCATTAAACGTATATCTCCAATTATTTTACCGTGTTTCTTCGGTCACGTGATGTAGATCGACGAAGTTCAGTTTGACAAGATCATGGAGCTGATTGAGTCAGGACGGACAGAGGGCGCCACCATGCTCACGGGAGGCAGCCGACACGGCGACCGAGGTTTCTTCATCCAGCCGACGGTGTTTGCCGACGTGAATGATGACATGAGAATTGCAAAGGAAGAGGTGTTTAATCTATTCTTGTTGTTTTTGTTTATCTCGCGCGCTCTCATCGCGGTGTTATGGAGAACAGACGCAGTTAAAGCGAACCAACGTCGCTTAGGTAAAGCTAGGTTTACACTATCGACGTTTAGAAGTTAACGAGTCGCTCGACATTTTAACTATTCGACCAACAATCGGCAGCGTAAACGTAAACGTAATACTCGACCGCTCAACAATAGTCAATGACAGCTAGCGGATAGAATTGAGCAGGTTGTGATTTATCAACTGAATGTCAGCGAGTTGACCATGTTTTTGCCATGCAGCCACCAGGATATAATAGCTATCAGTGATTGATTTAGCAGTCGATGATTTACGATAAACGAAAAATGAAGACGGGAAACATAAGAATCCGAGGAACAGCCGAAAAATATGTACCGCGAGATTTCTTCCCCAGATTTTCGGACCAGTTATGCAGATCATGAGATTCGACGGTATGGATGAATTATACGAACGAGCGAATAAGACACAGTATGGATTGGCCGCATCTGTCTTTACGAAGGATTTAGATAAGGCGTTAATGGTGGCACAGGGCATAAGAGCAGGCACCGTTTGGTAAGATATTCAGCTGTTATATTCAGCAAGCTATGCTTCATGGCTAGTATGGCGTGGTTCAGAGACGAATCAACATTATCTTTAACATAATTTGTTAATTTATAATAACATTTTTTAAATTAATATAGACCACGCTAATTGTGGGTATTATTTTGTACCGCTCACAATCGGTTTTAGCGGGCCGCACCATGCAGAGTAACTACTAACGTTACTAGATCTGTTGCCATGCAGGGTAACTACTAACGTTACTAGAGCTGTTGCCATGCAGGGTAAACTGCTATGACAAGTTTGATGCCGCGGCTCCGTTTGGCGGATATAAGATGTCTGGATTCGGACGAGAGCTGGGAGAGTACGGTCTCCATCTCTACACGGAAGTAAAGACGGCAAGTAGCAACACGATGTACTCATCGTCGTCTAAACACACTTATTACACACACACTTCCTCTTTCTCTCTCTCTCTCTCGCTCTCTTACTCACTTTTCCCCTCGATCTCTTGGTCTCTCTCTCTCTCCCTCCCTCGCGCGCGCTCTCTTTCTCTCATTCTCTTACGTTGTGTGCCTGTTTGCGTGCGTACATGCATGGCTCTCAATGTTTCATCTGTATCACTCCGCCTTTCGTCATCTTTCCTCTCGCTATCAACACTTAATATGAAATAACTTCTCTAGAAATAAAAGTTCAATCTATTCCTTTACAGGTGACCATAAAAGTACCTCAGAAGAACTCGTAAGACTTCCGCGCTATGGAATGCATTATTGAAGTGCAATGACAAAGTTATAGCGACTGGCCGAGACGTCACTACAACATGTACTGTTAAAAACAACAACAACAGTAATAATAATAATAATAATAACAACAACAACAACAGCAATAAAACAATAAGTTTCACATGTTCATATATATATATAACACGTTTCAACGCGAGTATGTAATATGTGTGACTATATTGGATAGATGTAGGTAGACTAGTATGGTAGACTAGTTTGATGCGGATACTCGACCTATCATATTTCAATAAAAGAGCATGGACGGATTTTTAGTAGGTTACTACGCTCGTTGTGATTTTTGTTCATTATAACTGGAAATTCGCTTGCAGTTAAATTCATTGTCATACTGTCATCAGTCCACGTTGCTGTCGCTGACTGAGAATGAATTTTTCATGTATTATTTTCAGGTAGCATAGATTTATCTATGGACATAACTAAAATTACATGGCTGACGCCTGCAAAAAATATTAATTAATAAATCCATAGACTGGTCCATCACACCATGCCCCTAAATAATTCTGATATGCAGTTGATAGTTAGGGCAGTCTAGACCACTAGCCGTTGGTAATCTCGTTAGAAAAATGTAAATGACATTATGACGTAGCTTAATTAGTAGCCTATGCCACGTGACCACAGTCGTCGGCTGTGATTTGGGATCACGCGTGTAACGGCGTGTTTCCGACCAGCTGCGAATTTTGATTACATCGTCTAAACCGAACAATAACTTCAATTTTCTCTCTGCAGATGGCGCTGTGCGCTGATTAATTATTTTACATGAAGAATCTCATTCATGCACGAACGTCAAATATTAATGCGAATCCTTCATTTATCCGCCTTCCTCCTGGATATTTACATGCTTCTTTCAATCGATCGTGTACAATCGCGTGCGCTTTCATGCGCCATGCACGTCAGGGCTGTGGGAGCGAGCGTATAAATATGTCAGGAAAAATGCGTCAGCGCATAAATCTCTCAGGATAAATGTTATATGCCTGTTATTACGATACGATAATAGCCTATTGGGAAACATTACGCAAGCAAAGAAAGTTCCACTGTATCGTATGTGCATGTGGTTCTATAAATATTCATGGAATTAGTTCGTTATGAGTATCTGTTGGCAATGATTTATGTTGGTTTAAGAAGCTTTTTCGTTATAAGTTTTTGCAAAAATCATTTTCTAGTTACTTACACATTTTTATCATGAAGTGCGTGTGTGTGTGTGTGTGCGTGTGTGTGTGTGTGCGTGTGTGTGTGTGTGTGTGTGTGTGTGTGTGTGTGTGTGTGTGTGTGTGTGTGTGTGTGTGTGTGTGTGTGTGTGTGTGTGTGTGTGTGTGTGTGTGTGTGTAGTGTGTGTGTGTGTGTGTGTGTGTGTGTGTGTGTGTCGTGTGTGTGTGTGTGTGTGTGTGTCGTGTCGTG